CCTTAATTTACCAATTCATCTTACCATGAAATTTAGGGATGTCGAGAAACTACAACTGAACACACAAATACAATAAAGTTAATCTGAGACTCGCTACAAGAAGAATTCCAAAATAATAATAATAATAAAAAGAACAATCAGTGCACCTGGTTTTCTGGCCGGATTTCCCTTACAACGGAGTCGTCCAGGTGTAATGAAAAGCGCGGAGCGTTACCATCTTTATAGTAAAAATCAAATGGACGTAGTCCTAAGCAGAATATTTGAAAGGAGGTTACGCGTGTCGGAAGAAAAAATAGAATCCCAGTTTTCGATCACACATATTGTGTTCAAGGTTTGAACATAACTACTTCACAAAACTCAATTACAGAAAATTGGAATAGGTTAAACACTTTGCACTGATACAAAGCCATCGTCGGTTGCACCCATTTCGTCTCACGAATCCTGCAGCATGGATGCAAATTTAGTAAATGACTGTTGGTGAACAGTTTGATGTAAGGTATAACAGCCATACGAGCCATTCTAGCGACAACAACAACAGCAACGAACTTTTTTTGCGAAAGCTATTTTTAAGAATCAAAATTACATCACAGGACAATTACGTTACTTTGATAATACTTTGTCACGAACATCAAAACAAGCAGAAAGCTAAGTAATTAGAGAAGTTCATCAGTTCATTGATAAAACCGTTTATAGGCAACTATAACTACTGGGTAATATTTGGAATCAGAGTCTTGACTTTATTCTTTAAAAGTTATCCCTAATCATAGAGTCTGTAGGAGAGTGAAAAAGAAAGTGAACTTCGTCTTCTGTGAGATTGGATCCACAAAAAGAGCAATGCCTATTATCCTTCGTAGTTTGATTTTGTCTTGCCAGTTCTATCATTAGTTTGTGGCTGCTTATTCGTATAGTTTCACTAAAGCCCTTTTACCAGCTGTTCGTCTTGTTAAGTCTTTAAAATATCTATAAATTCAAGTTTTTGAGAATGTTGCAGGGTGTTTTGCCAATATGAGATATATTCCCGTTTCATTGTACTTACATAGCTTTTTACCATAGCGATATCTAATAAATCAGGGTTAAAGTCAGGATGGTTAAAATATTCTGACAGTCGTCAAATGAGAGTGGAAGCTATTTTTGCCTTAAACTATACTAAAATATATACAGTGTACTATATTTCTGTTATTGCTATTTTTGCCCAGTTTTTCCACTTTCCACCAAATGATTTTTGGCGGATTTTAGTATGATGTTAAGTAGCCACCCAACAATAAAACGGCGTTTAAAAACATTCTGCTGCTACTGACTAGTTTGATGTTAAACCACAATTTGACTGGACCACTCTGCTTTCAGTCTGTTTAATGGTACTGGTGAGTCAGCACTTACCTAAATCTGCACGAACAAGGTTAAAAGAAAGAATTACAAAAGCAATTAAGACAGATTTTGAGACCCAAGGTCAAGTTTACTTGGCGGAGCATCTATTAATTAGAAACCAGCCCATTTAAGAAAACTCCTTTCCAAAAGTTGTAACTTACCATGCGCCCCACAAAAACTCCTGTTGAATCCCTGTGTGTTTATTGCACGTATATTTTCAGCGTCTGTCCCATGGAACAGCTGCCGTTCGTTGTTTCCTCCATTATCTTTGTCCATTTTCTGCTTTCGTATCATTTACTGCTTGTAAAGATGGGGATTCTGAACCCGCTCTATTTTCGGGAAATGCATTCCACCAGTGGATGCTTGAAATTTGCTCACGACATTTTGATACTCAGAGGAGCCTGGGACGAGAGTCACAGTATGTACCGTCATATCAGGGCTTGGCATTGGAGCCCAGGAGATTGGAAGAAAAATTCCTTTGGGAGAAAAAAAGGTCACTCTGAGTTTTACTTCTTAGAAAGAGTGGATATTAACTAATGGAGGATACTGGGCGGTAGAAAAATGTCTCGATCGTCCATGACGAATTTCAATACAGGAATCTACCATGTCTAAAGCTATGGACTGATATAATGATACAGGAGTTTTGAGTAGAGTTGTTGTTATATACCTCGCGGTGTCAAAAGGATTGTGGTTAGGCATGTGGAACATTCCCGTGACCCCCATATCCCTTAGAATTCCCCCAAAATCAAGTTGATGGTGTTTTGTGAGCCGGTTAGCAACCCTGAAGGAAAAAAAAAACAAGGCACATCTTATCATCTTACGAGAAAAGAAGGAGGCCCATGAATCACTGATTGGTATCAAAATAATATCGTAACATTTCGTAAAATCATCCTTAACCTTGAGGGCTAGAACAATACTCCCCCTTAAAATCATTGCGCTCCCCCACTGGCCCCTAAATACAAGATTTAAAAAAGGAACTCAGGAGGCCCTGGGATGATAAAGTTTCTTTGTCTCGAAAAAAAAATTGAATTCCGGTGAGGGATGATAAGTCTGCAGCTCTGAGAGACGTGACATTTTGAGATGATTAACATGACAGCACAGTAGCTTCAAAGGCCGATCGCAAAGGTCTTTGGCGCATTTTCTGAGTCCATTATTTGTTTTTTATTGACATCGAATTTTCCAAAGCGATTTTTGTCCTGTCATTTCATGCTGAAACAAACTGATTTCCAATATCTGCTATGTTCAGTTTGTTAGTTATTTCCTTGTGAACGTGGATAATCATGCAGTGATTCAATCTTTCTTGCGATCTGAGGCTGAGTGCGCACTCACATTCCTGGTAGGTACCACAAGAAGTAACTTCAGAAGAGTTAAAAACTGACGGCTGCACTGGAGAGGTTTCTCGGATATGCCACTTCATCGTTCAATCCAAAGTCTGTCTCGGCACCAAGCTGCTTGGCAAGCGCTCTGAGAGTTTCACGGTAGCTATGGCAACAGCGAATATTGCGCTCCAAGTCGGAAAGATTACGACTAATCACGAAAAACCATATAAAATGCCAACTGCCGTTTTGTTCACAATTTTCCGCCATTTTGTGCCAAGTAAAACGTCACAAGCACCCCCAAATTTGAGTGTTCTCTGTTGAAGCAAAGCGACGGTCATGTTCCGTCATTAGGGAGCTTAAGCAACGACGACGCGGACGGCAACGAGAACGGCAAAAAAGCAGTAGGTTTGATTAGCAAAACAACAACTTTGCACGTGTATCACGCCTTTTTTGTACATTTCTTTGCCGTCATTGCCCGATTACAACGTGAAAGTGCCTGAATTCACGTTTTGTCGAGGACGGGAACACAAGACAACAACTTTCTTTTCTTTTCCTGAACTTTGATACAGCCCTTTAGAACTCAACTCCAAAAACATTTGCCAACATTTGACGAAGTAAACGAGATGGAATAAGCGCGTTAAAGTTTAAAGCGGTGCAAATTCACTTTTTAAGTGACGTTTTTGTAGCCGTCGCCGTCGTTGTTGCTTAAGCTCCCTATTATTAAGGATCAAAACTTGTCACTGGCTGATGACGGGATTTTTAAGACTACGGAGTAACAAAAGACTTGCAGCACTGTAATTTTCACGGAGTTATAATAACTCCTCTAGTGGGGCTAATTTAACTCTTGACAGTGGAGTTATTTTCGTGGAGTTATTTTAACTCCAAAAAGGAGTTTAAAGAACTCTTTTTCAGGAGTAAAAGTTACCCCAGATATTGAGGAGTTAAAATAACCCCAAAAAAGGAGTTATCCTGTACCTAAATTTTTACTCCACTTTCAGAGTTAAACTAACTCCAAAAAGAGTAAAAACAACCCATGTAAGGAGTACAAGTAACCCCATTTCGGAGTAATCTTAACTCCAGACTGGGAGTAAAAAGAACTCTTTTTCAGGAGTAAAAATGACTCCAAATTCAGAGTTAAATTAGGAGTTAAAATAACCCCAAAAATGGGGTTATCCTGTACCTAAAATTTTTACTCCATTTTTGGAGTTATAATAACTCCCTAAAAATTACGGTGAGGCGATGAAAAGATCAGTCTTGACTTTATTTCTTACCAGTGGTCAATGTTTCTCCGTAATCTTAAATATCCTCTCATCAGCAAGCGACATACAAGTTTTGATCCTCAATAATGACGAACATGACCGTCGCTTCGCTTCAACAGTAAAATATCTAACCCACACAGTAAAACGTCCAAATTAAGAACGAAACTAAACGAGACAAAACTTATTCTTCTACTGTATTTTTTGATGCTTCTTATCTGAAAAAAAATGCAATTGACTGAAATAAGAGCTGTACTTCTAGGGAAGTCTTACACCGTAATTTTCAAGGAGTTATAATAACTTCTCTAGTGGGGCTAATGTAACTCCTTACAGTGGAGTTATTTTTTGGGGAGTTATTTTAACTCCAAAAAGGAGTTTAAAGAACTCTTTTTCAGGAGTAAAAGTTACCCCAGATATTGAGGAGTTAAAATAACCCTCAAGAAGGATTTATCATGTGCCTTAAAGTTTTACTCCACTTTTAGAGTTAAATTAACTCCAAAAAGAGTAAAAACAACCCATGTAAGGAGTAAAAATAACCCCATTTCGGAGCTATTTAACTCCAGACTGGGAGTAAAAAGAACTCTTTTTCGGGAGTAAAAATGACCTCAAATTCAGAGTTAAATTAGGAGTTAAAGTAACGCCCGAAAAGGGGTTATCCTGTACCTAACATTTTTACTCCATTTTTGGAGTTATAATAACTCCCTAAAAATTACGGTGTAGAAGCAAACCAATGACGTAAATGAAAAACTAGAAGGAAAGCCACTGCTAAAAATGAAATGAAACTAAAAATAATGAAAACTTAATGAAATAATGAAAACTTGTTAACTCAGAACTGTTCTATCAGTATGCACTAACCTTCTTCAGCTCCCCTGGCCTTTCTAGAAAGTTTAATAGTCTCACCATTCCGCATGCCGTGGCCAGTTTTAGCTTGTAAATTCATAACAAAGTCATCTGCTTGTAAAGATATCCTTATTGTGGATTGTTTGTTGCTGTACGCCATCTCAAGCTTTCCATTTGTCTTCGGACTAAACAATTTTTTCTTATCATGTATTACATAACTCTATTGTACGTTTTTTGAAACCATTATCGCCTGCTCGTCTTCCTGTATCTTCTTGTTTTTCCAGTAAATAGTGTGCCATATCTTCCCGACCATCCCTAGCACTTCAAGAGGATCACCTCGTACCACTATGCAATCTACATCATCCTCGATTTCGAGTCTGACGTCACGCTGTTGGGCTTTCCTTCTCAGATTGTTAATCTGCTTTCGCGTCAATTTACGGACGGTTTCATTTTTGATTTTTTGAGTGGTGCAAGCTTTAGAGAAACCTTTCTTCAAACTTTCCACAGCTTTGCTCACACTTCCCTTATCCTTTCCTGTCACAAAAAGTTTCACAGAATAATCGCCTGTTGAACTCAAATTTGTTTCACTATTTCTCGTCAGCTTAACAGCTTTACAAAAGGAATCAGTTTGCTGCTCGTTCGTATTATGGACTACCGCCCGCTGTTGCTCTTGCAAAAAATCCGAAACCATTTGAGCTTGAAAGACCACAATGCGCAGGTGGCGAACGTTTTTACAATTTTTGCTGAACGAATCCAGAGCTTTGAATGTTACTTGTGCAGAGTCTGACGCAGACAGATTAAATCCACCAGTGCCAACGCTTGGTATTGAGACTGTTTGAAGATTGTTTTGATCCGCCAGGCGAAGGCCTTCTTCCAGACACGCCTGGAGGTGAATCTTATCTTGGGACCCTGAAAGTAAGAATTTCAAAATCGACATAAAAAATTAACGGATTGTACTTACAATAAAATAGCTAAAGAGTTGGCAAAGATCATTCATTTAAGAATTTGTTCTGCATCTGAAGCTAGGGACACAATTCTGACAACGAAAGAATCATCGACTATTTTAACCAGTGGAGATTGAACTCCTAAACAAGCGCGGATACTTGGTAACTGAGCTTTCACATCTTCCCAGAAATCTTTGTTGACTTCAACGTCTTGCTTTTTAATCTTGTCAAGCCATGTTTGTACTTCCTCTGTACATTCAGACCCCCGTGAGGCACTATTATCCTCTCCGTGATACAATAGAACGGCTGTACTGCGTTTCATCTTCCAGTCAATTTCAATTTTCTTCGTAGCCAAAACTACCTTAAGTTGGTCATGAAGTGACGTTGTTGTGACGTATTCCATTACATCTGAGTCCACAACCATGTAGAGCCGCCTTTCTTTGGGCCTGGACCGCTGACTAAATGATGTGCTATGCCTGTTGTCTACAGACGTTCCCAAGTCACCCACGGCAAATGCATGGTCATCATCTTCAGATGAATCACTAAAGATTCTGACTGTCAGTTGAGCCTTGTTTAGGACATGTAGTTTATCATGCTGTCCGGCTAAGACTCTTTGAACATCTATTATTAAAAAGTAAAGACAGACTTAATTCAACTAACCCTCTTTCTTCTACAGAGCGACGAGAAAATGTAAGAATTTTTGCTTTGGTGGTCTAAAGAAATTTAGAATTCAAGTGCTCTCTTTTAATGACAAGGGCTAAAGGTATATTTATGGAACGTTTGAATTCAGATCGGTTAAACACTGAAACACTAAGGCTAATTGTAACCTAGAAATCTTTCAAATTGTTTATAACTGCATCACGTGACCAGCCACACTCTGTTTTATCGAGAAATCCTTTGGGTCAAAATGCCCACTATGTAGAGGTCAAATCTTTTTCCTTTTCTAGGTCCAGACATTGGCTATAAATTATAGTCTTCTTGTAAAAACGGTCAGAATGAGACGAGATCATTTAACGTAATTCTCCTAACGAAAATTTTAGTTAGGGGAGGACTGGCAGTAGTCAGTTTTCAATGAAATTACGGACTATGGTTACTTTTATGTAGAGTAACCAAAGAAAACAAATGAAAAGGAGTATGGACTTGTAAAACGGCCACAGTTCAATATATTGTTCAACCGTAATGATAATAGTCGTGACCATGAAAATGATCTCATCTATCAATAATTTAGTCTGGTAAAAATGACCCTCGGTTACCGTCAAAAGCACATTGAATGATTGAGTAGCCGCAAAAGATGATTTTTAACTTAGTAAGAAATTTAGCTCTCCCAAAACTATCCCCCACGGTTTTCGGAGAACACTTATTATAGGGGACCAATGTAAGGCGAAACACGAAGCTATTTCGGCAAGTAATTACAAACCACTCAATTGTGACTAAAGTTTTGCTTTTACGCATCTTCACTCTTCACTCTTCCCACCTCCACTCTTTCAGTACGGTCGACTCACACAGCCCACAACTAATCTCTTTGGCTCAAACTTACAGTCTTCTCCTTTATTTACTATCGTATAAGTACCTTAATCCATTCCCTTTGACGGGCTTTGGGCTGATCCCATTCCTCCCTTGTTGTGTCCCCTTTTAAGGTTACTGCCAGACCCTCCTGGATATAGATTCCCTTGGCCACATCTGTTTGGACCAACTTCTTCCTTATCACCTAAATCAAGATCGTCAAAGGACCTACATATTACATTTATCTTATCTGCGGGATACACTGAATATTCATGTGTCCCGTTATGACCTGGGCCACCCCTTCCTCGTCCTCGTCTTGATTGATCTCTTCCTTGTCCTGGTTGAGTGAATGGCGATTGGCCATCGTCTTGAAAAAATGAATTCCTTTGATAAAAGTTGTCTTCATGTTCTACTCCTCTTTGAGCATTTCCCTTCGGTTTGGCTGGACTACATTGTCCACTCCAGTTACCACGTCCCCGCTGACTCTGAAACATGTGGTAATTTAAAGGAACGCCGAAACCGAGCTCGTGCGCCACATTCTCGCTGTATTTTTGGTTATCTCCTTGACCCTGGTCAAACCCGCCGCCCAGTGTCCGTGCTTCACATTTACAGGCTAGTCCTACTTGTATTGCATCACGATCTGGGAAGACCTGGTTTCCACACAGTTTGGGCTCGTTTATATCAAAACTATTTTTTCTCAAGAGATAAACATTATTCTCCTCTCCTCCATTTCTGTCCTGTGTTTCATTTTGATTTTCAATTTTCAATTTTCTTGTTACTCCGATTTTCCTTTTACTTTCCTGGTAATTCTGCGACTCGGTTATTTCGATCTTCCCTTTCTTGTTTTCTGACCTGGCAAAATTGTCTGGAGCACGCCGAGCAATAGGTCGATTGTTTGCGGGAAGTTTGATAAAGTCCTGTGAATTTCCCATGCCCTGAAATTCTTGTAACGTCTGTCTTGCTTTGTTGAAGTCTCCTTTAACATCATCGCGACAAAGGACTCTTTTGATAAGAACTGTTGGTACACTGGAGAAAAGTTCTTCTAGCTTTTTTAGCTTTCTCTCCCTGTTTTCAAGATTCTCCTCTTCTTTGGTTTTACTGGAAGAAGCTGTATCCATTGTAAAGTTGTCCTCTTCGCCGTTGTTGCGTCTCGATCTTACTTTTGCGCATACGTTATCCTCTACCTCCACAAAGAGTCTGTTATCAAAATCCTCTTCTTCGTGGACCCCACTCTCCTTTTCGTCTTTTTCTTCGTAAAAGCTTTTGCCTTCTGTAAGGTGAAAAACATTGCACATAATATACTGAAGTCTTCTGCATTTCCCAAAATCCTTAAATTGACTGGAGTTATTGTAAATACTTAAATGGGGCCCGTATTTTGGGAACAACGCACTTAAACTAATCGTTTAAAAAGAATATCCTCAAAACACATATTAATTTTGCGACCGAAATCCCCTCCCACCCCCCCCGACATGCTAATACCACTAATTGTTTTTGCATAAATGGCTTATTTTTGTTAAACGTTTGAAAGTTATTTAGTGCTCTAATTAAAGAGTAAAATAGACTCCATCTCTTGTAATAAGCCCTTGTCATTAAGGAGTGCGTTAAAATAATTAAATTTAATTTACCCCTACTGTATACTATTTGAGGGCACACGAAAACCACTGTGGCCTGAAGCAAACAGCAGAAACAAGTACTAATATAAATTCAACAATAACTGAAGAATGCCATCACAACAGGAGCAATCCAGTTAAGTACAAGCGTGGCAGAGACATTAAACGCTGAACTGCCAATTTCAGTGCTCAATCTGGCCGCTTTGTCAATGCGACTATACCATGCCCCTCCCTCTACCTCAGTTAAAGGAAGAAAGTAACTAAGTATAAACTTCTACGCTTTTCACATTTTCTTTTCAAACCAAAATCAAAATCAGTGACAAACGCATTCATTCAGTAGATCGCGTATGTAACACTTAATGCGCCTCATCAAATTATTATTAACTGCCTAGAAACAGTCCTGGTGCGTAGTCAACTATAAATGTTCAATATGAATGTATTCACGCTCGACTGAGAATTTGTTCAAGCAAAAGTGCGTGGTGACGAAATGGTTTTAGTGTATAATAAGACTCATGAATTTAAGTATTCTTAGAGCTATAACGACTTTCAAGGTATTAAACTAAAGTTAATACGAACTATGGATTGAATGTTTGCACCTGCAGACTCTACGTGCCTCCCTGCCACCGCCAAAACAATACTGAAAGTCTTACTTCCTCATCTTTTATAGTTTAATTATATTGGCATCATTTTGTGTATATTGTAAAGAAGTTTTGGTCACATTATTCGCCTTTTTTACCCTTTTCAAATTGATATATAATGTCAACGCGTGTTTAAATTCAATTTTATTATGTTTCCTTGTGTTGGTCAGTTATCTTTCAGTGTAACTATACCTGCTCAACTCAGAAGCTGTCTAGGTCTGTATGGTCAATATTATTAATGCTGAAAAGCTACACATGATTGAAGTGGACGTAGAAATTATCGGGGCGTAGAAACGAAATATTACAAAACCAAACGTGAACTTAAAATAGAGTTGGGTGAGCGCGACAAACGAACCGGGTTGTAATACGCAGATTTTTTGATACTCCATAACTTGACGGGGTTATGAATTAAGCTGATGTCTTCTTTACCAACTTGCAAGGAAACCTGATTTATTACAAACTTTGCAATTAATAAATATATTTAGTAATATTTAGAGGCCTAGCCACTCGAATTTGACTTTACTCACCAAATTCATCACTATCCATTTCTCCTTTTTTGTGGAACAGCTAGTAAATTAAAACAGTCCTGTAAAGTAGAGGAATTAACCCTAGTTCTTGTCACTAGAATAACCCACGACTGACTGCCATCATAGAAGTCATCATATAACAGCTTTTAATGACAAGCGTTGAGTTTTGAAGGATACGGAAGTTGGCAGTGAAACATGACTAAATACGTAACTAGTAAGAACGCTACAAACAAACCGTATTTAAGGCTGGAAGACGACATCCTACACGTACCACTGACACAATTTACCCTTTTACTGATATTCTGCAAAGGCTGGCATGGATCACCTTGCTCTGAAACAAATCAAAAGCGCAGAGAATTGAACAGAGTGCTAACAGCACTAAAACCAAACGTGTGACCACTTTTAATTAATTCCCTTTTCTTACAGCACTTATCCAATGAGAAGGCGAGGAGGCAGAATAAAGGAACAAGTGATACATCTATAATCAATGCCGCCTGTTTACATGGAGGTGGGGGACCCCAGGAAGGTGCGGTAACCCGCTTAGGTGGGGTAATGGAGTCTAGATCTAGGTCACTCGTTTGTCCATATAATCTCTCATTTTGATTTGATCATATTTCCATGATAGGTACGGTGACCCGCCATATTTTACCTTACCTACCTGGGGTCCCCCACCTCCATGTAAACAGGCCCTAAAAGTCATAATTAACTGGACTATTTTGAATTTGCACAATAGACGACACTGAGAAAAGCGACATCGGGTTGCCGTAAAATCCAGTAATAAATTATGTAAATCTACTTTGGAAACCCGACGGTCGCGATAAAGAAAGAGGGTCTTAATGGGGTTAACCGATAGGCGTAAAACGGCCAAACATTTAGCCTTAAAAATTGAAAAATTTTAACCGTTAGCCGTAAATAGGGTAAAAAAAGGGAGTTAACTGTAAAAGAAATTGTTCCCTAGATTTGTTGATTTTAAGGAAGGTGCTAAACAACAATTCCCTGTTTTTCTCTCACGCTAAGGTAGACATTGCTATGCCTAGTCGCTGTTCAGCGTCTTCCCACGCAATCTCGGGTGAAGGCATTTCGGTAGCGCGGCGTATCTGAGAAAAAACCTCGCTCAGACCACTTAACCCGAAGCGCATTAATGACGCCTATGGACAAGGTAACGCCAGACAGTCCAGTTTTTGTACCGTCCTTCGCTATCATTAAAAACACTGGACACGGAAATTTTGTCATTGGCCTTTTTCAAGCTAGAGCTAGAAATGGATTATCCGTCTGAGACTAGCCTGTGCACAGTCGCCCCCTCTACCACAGATACCCCTTTTCCGATTTTTTCTGAGGGGAGGGGGCGGCTGTACACAGGCTATCTGAAACGGATGATCCATCTTCAAACTGTCCGTCAAAATTGACGGATAAAGTCAGGCGGATTGTTCATCCAAAATTAAAACCCTTTCCATTTCAAATTAAGAAGTATTACCTATCTGATGCGAATTATCAAACGGATAACCCATCTCACACGGATAATCCGTCTCTAGTCCGAAAACGGCCATTTCTATTATAAATGAATGTCCCCCCTCTACCTTGAGTTGGGCGTCCGCGTGTCTTCCTTTGCTTTTTCACAAAGATTATTTTTAAATTGACTATTGACATTTCTATGATGCATGAGTAAAATAATACTAGAAATGGAATAGTTTATAAATAGTATGAACTATCAAACGTGAAAACTTTTCAAAAGAATGACTTCATTGTATCCCGAGACCGTTATTTGCTTTGAAGATACAAAAAATACAGGTTTAGTAATATTTACCTCTTTGAAACAAAAGAAATTAATTTTAAACTTTTTTGTTAACCGTAACTGAAAAAAAAAAACCGATAGCCGTAAAAGAGCCAAAATTTTAGCCGATAACCGTAAAAGCCACAGGCACCCAATTGAGACCCTCAAGAAACAAAAAATTTAAGCCTCATGATTGGAAGTCAGTTTTAGGTAAATATTTATCGGGCGGGTGACTCAGCAGAAAATGTGATAACTGACTGTTAACCTCGCTTTATATATTGGTCAGGGCTGTATTGACAAGAATAGCTCAGGGGATAGGTCAGTGGAAAATTAAGACACTTACTGAGCAAAGGAGACTTTATGGCTATGTGGTCTTTACACTAGAGCCTGAATAAGCTAAGAAATATTCCAAAACAGGCAAATTTTAAATTCTTCAAGAAAAAGGAAGCTTCACACACAACCGTTTCGTTTTTACTTCAGGTTAACTTATTAAGGCTATTTTCCCTCACAACATAATTAAGATTGATTGACGTGATTAGCATTTCTCAAAGCTCTAGAAAGCGCATGTTCGCTAAGTCGGTAATATATAGATTTAGCCAGGGCTAAAAGCGAAGCTCTGGTCCTGTCATGAGCAAAAAACAAATTTATTATTTGTCTTTCCCTTGCCGTTGTTTTGCACGACTACAAAGCTGTTTTGTACGACTAAAACGTCAAACTTCCTAGTTACACGTTATTTTTATGGAGGAATTGTCGTATGTGCTTACACAATATTTTGTTTCCTGTGTTCATATTCGCTTTTATTTTTCACTGCCCCTCACTTTCACCTTAGCTTGCTGGCCGCTAGCATTTCTCATTTTCTCACCGCCGCTTTGAATTTCCATGTTTTTATTCCTGCGAAATTCGTCTCCTTTGTTTTCAATAACTCTCTCTAGCTCTTTCTCTGTTATCCACGTTAGTGTAAACATAAAAAATAACGCCGAAAAGGCAAGACTTTGTTGTTGTTTTTTCTTTCTAAAAGTCCGGGTGGCCATGTGATTTCCTTCCAAATAAAATCTCGAGTTTCATTTGGGTTGCCATACCTGTTGATTGAGTTATTTTACATTAGTATGCCCGTGATGCGGACGGACGGTCGGGCGGGCGGTCGTCGGTCGGTCGGTCGGTCGGTCGGTCGGTCGGTCGGTGTACGGTCACGTGATTACCAAATGTTCTCGGATGGGTCGATTACCACATTTTCTTAGCTATGGGGCTCCGCCCACGCGAGGCGCTTCGCGCCGCGTACAGAGCTCCGCTGTTAAGGATAGTTTGCATGTCACTTGAAACTTTCTTGAATCGTTTCAACTTTCCGACTTTAATGAGATGCAAAGTAAAATAACTTGAGATTTTACTTAGGCCTTCACACACGTATCTTTGGTTAAGTACAACTTAGCAGCTCTTAAGTCTTACTTATCAGCTTAGTGTAACGACAACCATATGTCTGACTGTGCAAACCAATCTGTAACGTCAGTGGTCATTCCATCGCCAATTTAATTTGATCCGAAGTGCCGTAACTTGATCACGCTGATGTATAAAAATCGCCACAAGACTTGAATATACTCTACTTGGCGCTTTTCATTCTTGTGAAAAGTATTGATATTCTTTTACTTCAAGTACGTCTTCGTCCCTAGATCATTCTTTTCTTGATTTAAGCTAAGGCAAATTACACAATGATAAAAGTGCCCACCACACCCCTTCCCTAAGCCAGCGTTAATACTTACTTCTCACTTAGGGCAAAATGTCGGCTTTGTGGAGGGGTAGGTGGGCAGTTTCCCTGAAACGTATAGTGATCCGCACCATTAATTCTAATGAAAAACAACTGCAGAACTCCTCTCGTCAAGATCGACAAGTCTGGTTGTGGCCGGGACACCTAATTCTTTGACCTAAGTCTAAGTCGCAAAGAAATAGAGAGGGTTCAATAGAGTACTAAAGTGATGACGTCATAAAAATGAAATTTCTGAAATTATGGGATTTGTCAGAATGTTCTGAAAGACCAATGTCCAAGAGGCCTACTTACTAAAAATGAGCATTTCGGGGCAAATTGTCTCTGAGATGTTAGCCGGTTATACTCAGAAAACTCCTTACAAACCCTTCTAAATTTTTTTGGGGTCGACCCCAAAAAAATTTTAGAAGTGTTTGTATGGAGTTTTCTAACCATAACTGGGCTACGATCTCAGATCTCTCAAGATCAAATGCAACTCCCTGGCTGATAGATAAGACCACGACCCTTGAACCTCATGGCCTAAACCGCCGTGACGAATTATTGTAATCCATCTCCTTAGTATTTTTCCTTTCCAGTTTTTGTGTTGTACGTCATTTCCGCCTCTCCCTTTTAAACAATTTTTATTGCGACATTCTCCATCTGTATAATATTGTGATTGCTACATAAGTTCAGTAACATCTGTAAACCTGAAGAAGGCTGGTATGGCCAGCCGAAATATTGTTATAAAAAACAATACACGTTGTTTTAAATCAGCTTTGCAGTAGTCTTTGGACTTCTCGTTCTTGGTTCTTTACATTTTGGGTGATTAGATCTCTTTTCTAGAGATTCAACATTTACAACTAGCAGGATCTTCGTCCGTTTGCAGTTAATTTAATCCTTTATTAACTAGAAATCAGGTTAAAACTGCGAGAAAAGGTATTTTTTGTGCTTTACATGAAAAATAACACATAAATAAGCGTTCTTTATGATTTTAGCCACAAGATTTACTTTTATTGTTGAAAGAAGTGTTTAAAAAACATGTATTTTCACCCAAAATTTGCTTGACCACCTGCTACTTATGACGTCATGTCTCGTGACCATACCAACTGACCATCACTAAACTTGTCTCAAAATGTGCTAATTTATAATAGGCTAATTTACAACAGGCTACAACCTCGCTATCTTCGCAATTCGACAACTTGCAAACAGTTCAAGGAAGGCATCGTCTTAAATATTTGTTAGCTCGTTACACAAAAGAATATTTCAAAATGCTTTCATTGTAAAAATGTGTGTAACTTTTTTACCCCGATTATGGCAGTTGGTAACAATGATAATTAAGTCACTCTTCCACTCCTTTATCGCTTCTCCGGCAAAGTTGAAGGACGTTTCGCGCCAAAAAAATCATTTTAAGCCAGGGGTTGATCTTTCCTTGCAGCACTGGGAAAAGCCGCAATTATGGACGAAGTAAGCTACAGATTTTCTTTTTTAGTTGCTACAATAACGTTTTTGTTTTTGTTTTTTAATAGGAAAAGCTGTATCAGGTAACTTAAAAAGAAGATTCTTTCGGCTCTCTATCACGGTTACGAGCCTGTGGGGGCTAAAGTCATCAACTAAGTGTAATAAGTTAGAGTGCCAATTACATCACTTACCAGCTCCCCCTTTCCACCATGCCACCTGGAACAGTTTGTATGGATCACGTGATTACAGGCCAGGTTATATCCACGAGTAACGGTGATGTCACCAGTGTTTGGAGTTACCAGGTTTTGCTCCATTGCCTGCCCACCCGCATTGACGATCGCCTGGGAGCATGCACCTTGTGAACTGACCAGAATGTTAATAGCCTGCAACTGAAGAAAGAGGAATTCAATGACTTCTTTCTTCTATTCAACAATTGTGCAGACTTAACCTCGCGTGCTTCTTTGGACGCTTGATTCTGTTTCATGTGGGTTGGGCTTTGTCACAGTTCGACGTTAGTTTTTGACTATAAAAGAGGCATTTGGTTGTGTCATAAAATAGTGTTTTTCTCAGTAAGGGGCATAACGTGCAAAATGGCAGGACCCAGACAAGAAAAGGGTAAACCATTCCTCTTCACTTTCGCTATATTCCAAGAAGGGCTTGCACGGTCCGGCTCTCGTTATGAGTGAATTAATAGTTATTATTGTTCATTCAAAATATTTTTCCGTTTCTGATTGGCTGAAATCTTGTGGCTAATTCTTAGCTATTCTTCATAATCATCTAGTATTGTCCAAATAGGAAAACGTTTATTCAACAGCATAATTGCCAGACAAATGGACCGAGAAGCCCTGGGACGAGATTGCTTTGTTTTTGGTAGAGCGTAGACACTTCCACCGTTTTTTTTTTCAAGTTATATGGAATGTTGCTCCACAAAGGCGATTTCGACTATTCTTCGATCAGATCCTATTCAGCCTAATTCAATAATTGTCAATTATTTATTATACAGTTAATAGTCACATTACGAGGAGATATTTCAAATACAATTATTACTGCACCTTTGACTTCTAAAAATCTATACAAAGGGATACATAGGGGATACACTTTTTGATATATTTTTTTTTTTCTAAGCTTGCGAGCGGGCGGAATCCTCCAAATCCTGCAATCTGATTGGTTCCGAGAGCGGGCAGTTTTTTACGATCTTGCCCGCTAACCCGGACGGAATCGTTGGCAGCTTCATTTTGTTGTTGTGAATGAGCAAAGCCGGTGATTCCGAACCATTTTCTTTTAAAACTTGCGCTATTATTAGCGTTAGCTACGGAAAAGTGAATTTGTTATTCACAGAAAACATCTGAAGGGAGAATCAAGCAAGTCAGCCAGGAAAACCGCTGAAGTAAAGCACAACAGGCGGCTTGTGATGTGGCTTCACTAGTTTTATAACCTACGCTGTAAGTACTGAAATCTTGCTCTCATGCCACCTTTTATAGTCCAGTCAAATTGTGGTTTAGCATCAAACTAATTGCAACATAATTTTTTTTCAACGCAATTTAATTGTTGGATGGCTATGTAACAACATACTAAAAATCCGCCAAAATCGGTTCGGTGAAACATGAGAAAAATTGGCAATAAAGATTTTCAACTTTCACCACAGGAAACCCAATTTCAGGAAGATCACAAATTCAGATAAAACATTTGATAATTGCTTTTTTTCCTCAAGAATTTTCGATACAACATCGCTAATGTATTTTAGGTAGTTTTGGTTTAAAAACGCCGACTAAATGTATGAGAAACACCTGGGTCAGTGTTTCGTCTTGACGGCTTCGCACAGGTTACCCAGCCACTCGTTTGTCTACACCTTCTTTTTTCCAAGCTGTAAGTTTTTTTCTATGACGGTATTTAAAAGAGAAATTATTAGTCAGTCTGTATTGACATGATTAAAAATATTAGTAATTTTATTTCTTTTTTGCGCAATATGAGAAATGCAGCATGGAATCAAATTTAGTCGCTGACTGATGGTGAACAGTTTGATTTGATATTTTGGTCACCTTCATTCAGCTACTAAATTTTCATCCATGCTACAGGATACGTGCAACTAAATGTGTGCAACGGACGATAGCTTTGTATCAGTACAAACTGTTTAACCTATTCCCATTTTCGGTAATCGAGTTTTGTGAGGTAGGTACGCAGTTAGCGTCTTAATTGCTTCACAGACATCTTCCTGAAACCCAGATACGTAGGTATCATTCCAGTTGTCCCCATGAACTAGGACGGCTGAGCTGGCGTTGAGTTGCTCACAAAATTGGTGCCATTCTGTGGTTTTCAATAGCTGGCGATCGTTGCCATCCACCAGAACTTTCTCCTCCACTGTCAACTTACTTACAAGACTGGCAGCCTTGACCGCATGCGAAGCTGATGTACCTATGATCCGAGCCTCGCTATCGATCACGAAAACAGCCTCCACGTCGTTTTTCTCTACTTCACATTTGACTTTCTCCAGCCCTTCATCTAAAGACAAAATTTTCAAAATGGTTTTTGACAGGCTTAATTTCTTCTCAACCATGCCCGAAATTTGTTCGTGGAATTTCTTGGACACTTCCAAGAACAATGGTTGTGGGCCTTCAAAATAGATTTCCTCTGCTTCAGTGTCTAACTTTATCTCCAGTTCTTTGTTTCTTTCTTTAAGTTTTTCCACGAACCGGATCTTCTTTAACAAAGTTAAATATTCCAAAGAAACTTTTCCGTTTTCGTTACATACGTTTTTCTGGTTTCCTTCTGGTGTATTTCCTCTAATTTTGCTTTTAATTTCTCTCTTATATCTTCTGCATCTGAAGCCAGGGACACAATTCTGACAACTAAAGAATCATCGATTATTTTAACCAGCGGAGGTTCAACACCTAAACAAGCGCAGATACTTGGTAACTGAGCTTTCACGGCTTCCAAGAAAACTTTGTTGACTTCAACGTTTTGCTTTTTAAGTTTGCCCAGCCATTTTTGTACTTCGATCCTCTTTACATTCAGAACTCCCTGAGGCACTCTTATCCTCTCCGCGATACAATAGAACGGCTATTCTGCGGTTCATTTTCCAGTTAATTTCACTTGTCCTCGTAGCCAAAACTTCCTTAAGTTGATCATGAAGTGACGTTGCTGTGACGTATTCCATTACATCCGGGTCTACAACAATGTAAAGCCTCTTTGCGCGTTTTGGGCCTAGACCCCTGGCATGATGTACTATGGCTGTCCTCTGCAGAAGTTCCCACGTTATAATTACCCAAATTGGAAAATGCATGGTCCTCATCTTCAGGTGTATCACTAAAGATTCTGACTGTCAGTTGAGCCTAGTTTAGGTCATGTGGTCTTTCATGCTGTCCGTCTAAGACTCTTTGAACAACTAGTATTGAAAAGCAAGATTGAATTAATTCAACTTAAACCCTCTTTCTTCTACAAAACTAGGAGAACATGCAAAAATTTTTGCTTTGATGTTCTAGAGAAATTTAGTATTCAAGTGAGCTCTGACCTCGAGCTTCTTTGCTGGCGCAAATTGAAGGCATTATATTGTATTTCTCCTTTTTTAATAACAAGGTGTAAAGGTGTATTCATGGAACGTTTGAATTCAGACCTGTAAAACCCGCTGCAACACTGTTAGCCACAGCTCGACCATTTTTAGACTTAAACAGCACTCTCTCCACAGGGCCGCCATTGTTCTTCGGACTTTGAAAGTACAACTTAATGAAGTAATGAGTGGTATCTTCTGAAATTCCGCTGACGAGAATGCTCTTGCACACGGAACTCGAGATCGAGGAAAACGCCCCTCTGTAGGAAACCCAGTGGAATCTATATCTTCACTGGGTCTCGGAGAAAACATCACTGCAGGTTTAGTTTATTTTCCACTGGGTTTTTCTTAGTTGTGTTCCGTTCCCACAAAAGCAGAAAGGGGTGGCAGACCTTACAACTTTACCGGCATGAAAACTTTGAACACCTTTTACATATTGCTGTATCGAAAAGAACTAAACAGTTTACTCTTATGCGATATTGATTACCTGTACCTTCCGTATTTTGTTTTTGCCAATGGTACATGTGTAATAATGTTTTGTATTTTTGCTTCTTCTTATAAATACACTGGTCTTGTAAGTCATGATAGAAAGCGACCAGGGAAGTAATAAATCAGCCGGGTAGAAACAAACTAATCGCCGGGTATCGGGGAGGCTTAATTTTTACCTGGGTCGACTGAATTGAACCACTGGATAGGGTTTCACTGGGTCTGTTACAAAGGGGTATAATATAAAATTGTGACCTGAGTAGAGTCCATTTCCCTCGTCTCATCCTTCTACTTAATTTTACTTAAATCTGAAAAATACAGTAAAATAGAAGAAAAATATCTTGAATTGGAATTGACTGAACGTTTGAATCGCTCTGATGTCAAGCTGATGTTAAATGAAATAATTTTCCATGAAATTGCGGATTATGGTTACTTTTGTGTAGAGTAACCAAAGAAAACAGAAGACGAAAAGGAGTAATGTATATGGAGCTGTAAAACGGCCTCAGTTCATTAAATTATTCAATTGTAATGATAATGGTTGTGACAGTGAAAATAATTTCATCCATCAATAATTTAGTCCGGTAAAAATGACCCTCAAATTCAGTCTAAAGCACTTTGAATGTTTGAGTAGCCGCAATAGATGATTATTTAACTTAAGTAATAAAGCGACCCCGAGCTATTCCTCACGGTTTTCGGAGAAAAGGGGACCAATATAAGACGCACCCAAAGTTTACAGCTTTGTCGTTTGTCGTCGACTCACACAGCCCACAAGTAAGCAAACTTACACTCTTCTCCTTCGTTTACTATTGTACAAGTACCTTTATGCTTTCCCTTTGACGGGCGTTGGGTTGATCCCATTCCTCCCTGATGATGTCCTCTATTAAGGTTACTGCAAGACCCTCCTGACTTCCCTTAGCCACATCTGTTTGGACCGGCAATTTCTTCTTTATCACCTAAATCAAGATCGTCAAAGGACCTACATATTTCATTTATCTTATCTGCGAGATACACTGGATGTTCATGTGTCCCGTCGTGACCTTGACCAACCCTTCCTCGTCCGCGTCTGGATTGATCTCTCCCTTGTCCTCTTTGAGTGAACGACGACTGGCCACGGACGTGGAAAAGGGGATCTCTTTCATGAAAGGTGCCTTCAGGTCCACGTGCTCGGTGGGTATGCGGGCTCTTCCTAGGATTGGGTGGCCTCGATTTTCCCCTCCAGTAACCGCGTCCCTGTTGACTCTGAAACATGTGGTTATCCAAAGGAAACCCGTGCGCCAGATTGTCGCTGTATTCTTAGTAGTCTCCATGACCCTGGTCGAGCCTGCCTCCTAGTATCCGTGTTTCATGTCTACAGTTTTGGCCTCCTTGTATTGCATCACGATCTGGGAAGACCTGGTTTCCACACATTAGTTTGGGTTCATTTTCATCGAAACTATTTCTTCTGGACCGATGAACATTATTCTCCACTCCTCCATTTTCGTCCTGTGCATCATGTTGATTTTCAATTTTCACTGGTATTCTTGTCACTTCGATTCTCCTTCCTGATAATTATGCAGCTCCGTTATTTCGATACTACCTTTCTTGTTTTCTGGCCTAGCCAATTCTTCTGGACCGCCCCAGGCAATAGGTTGATTGTTTGTGGGAGGTTTGATAAGGTCTTTTCCATGCCCTGAAATTCTTGTAACGTCTGTCGGGCTTTGTTTAAGTCTCCTTTAACATCATGGCGAGAAAGGACTCTTTTGATAAGAACTGTTGGTACACTGGAGAAAAGTTCCTCTAGGGTTCTTAGCTTTTTCTCCATGTTTTCAAGATTCTCCCCTTCTTCAGTTTTTCTGGAAGAAGCTGTATCCATCGTCAATTTGTCCTGCTCCTCGTCGTTGTGTCCCCCTACTTTTATACATACGTTATCCTCTACGTCTACAAAGTGTCTGTTATCAAAATCCTCTTCTTCGTGGCCCCAACTCTCCTTTTCGTCTTTTTCTTCGTAAAAACTTTTGCCTTCCGTAAGGTAAAAAACAACGCACATAATATACTGAAGTCTTCTGCATTTCCCCAAATTCTTAAACTGACTCGAATTATTATGAATACCTAAATGGGGCCCGTATTTTGGGGACAACGCAATTAAACCCCAGTTTGAAAGAATATCCTCAAAGTAATTCATTTTTTGAGACCGAAATACCCCTCCCCCCCCCCCCCCCCCGACATGCCAATACCATTAATTTTTTTGCATCGGCCGTGAGTAAATTGAAATTGCCTTGACACCTTTGGGCCACCGTAAATTAAAGAGTAAAATAGACGCCATGTCTTTTGGTAATAAGCCATCCTTGTCGTTAAGGAGTGCCTTAAATCATGAAATTTAATTTACCCTCTACTCTATAGTATTTGAGGGCACACGAAATTCACTGGGGCCAGAAGCAAACAACAGAAACAAGTACTAAATTCAAGAATAACCTAAGAATTAGCCTGCGAAAACATCCGTTTCTCCTCGCTCTTCGCCGCTGGGGACGTTTCGCGTTTCCTCCTCGCGAAACGTCCCCAGCGGCGAAGAGCGAGGAGAAACGGATGTTTTCGCAGGCTACCTAAGAATGCCAACAGGACAAGAGCAATCCAGTTAATTACAAGCGTGGCAGAGACGTTAAACGCTGAATCTGGCCCCTTTGTCAATGCGCCTACCAAGCCCCTCCCTCTTCCTCAGTTAAGGGACGAAAGTAAGTAAACTTCTACTTTTTTCACATTTTCCTTTCAAACCAAAATCAAAATTCATTACAACATAGCGAGATTTTTTTTTTATTCAGTGAGGATTGAAAATAGGGTTACAGGGGCTTTCTCCATAACTTCCTAAAGACAATCTTCTGAGTCCTGGTGCGTAGTCAACTATAAATGTTCAATATGAATGTATTCACGCTCGACTGAGAATTTGTTCAAGCAAACGTGCGTGGTGACAAAATGGTTTTCTTGCGTAACGAGATTCATGAATTAAAGTATTTTTGGAGCTATAACGACTATGAAGGCATTAAACTAAAGTAAATACGAACTATGGATTGAATGTTTGCGCCAGACTCTACATGACTCCCCTCTCCACATCGTAAAAATTCAAAAGTTATGATTTTTGAGAAATGCAGTGTACATAAGACTAAGTGAACAATTTGCTCGCTTTAATCTCTCAAACTTGATTTTTGCGGAGTCACATTATATGACCTCATAAAATGACCTATGCGCAGAAAAATCCCAAGTGTTAGGAACTTTAAACAATAATGAATCTGCAACAGAAAAACTGAAACAATACTGAAAGTCTTACTTCCTCATTTTTTATGGTTTAACTATATTGGCATCATTTTTTGTATATTGTAAAGAATCGTTTGGTCAAATGTTTGGCCTTTTTTACCCCTTTCCAACTCCTCATGTCAACGCGTGTCAGTTTAATTCAATTTTATTATGTTTCCCTGTGTTGGTTTTATCTTTCAGTGAAAAGTAAATCTGCTCAACTTAGAAACTGTCTAGATCTGTACGTTCAATATATTGCT